GGGCCTTGAGAATGAGGTGTGTTTGTGTGTGTGTGTGTGTTTGTGTGTGTGTGTGTGTGTGTGTGTGTGTGTGTGTGAGGGCTCACAGGGTCACAGGCAAAAGTGTTTATCCTGCTGCTATGGCAACCCCAGAACTAGCCTTGGGCAAATAACATCAAGAAAAGCTGTAAGTGTGTGTGTCTGTGAACAAGAGCGAGATGATGTGAAGAGAGGATTTAAAAAGCCGAGATGTGTGATTTAATATAAGTCTTAGATTCATACATTTCAAAGAGCTGTCCTGCTCTCTCTCTCTCTCTCTCTCCCCCACTGCGGCTGGCCTGCCCCTCAATCATCAGGCCCTCCTTTTCACCTTCTCTTTCTCCCAGCTCCACATGCTAAGTGGGAACATTGTTACGGTCAATTTGTCCCATTCAGGGTCCCAGTGGGCAGTGTCCCTGCCCTGACAGCCTGCAGACAGAGACCACACTGCCTGAGAGGCCTTGACATCAAGGTCCAGGGGAGATGGAGAGGAGGAGGAGGGAATAAAGCAGTGGAGAGGAAAGCAAAGGACAGGAAGGAGGGGGGTAACAGGAGAAGCGAGGTAATGAGGGGGGCAGCGGTATGGCGGCAGAATGTGCGAAGGAAAACAAGTAGGTGGGGAATGCTGAGGAGAAAGAATGAAAAGGAGGCTAGAGGTGCCAGGTTTAACACAAGCCCCCAGACTCTGCAGCTCAATAGTATTTATTACCAGTCTGTCAGTCTCAGACTCAAGTGATGCAGATGGCGACAGCTCTGCTCCCACAGAGGACACCTCTAATACATCTGCCTTAGTTTGGCCTAAACCCAGAGAAATACAAGACAGACTAGACAATCTCAGAAGAAATAGCAGGAAACACAGGTGTTCATGCACGTGTATTTGGTGCAATGTTGAAATGTAATTAGACTCAAATGTTTTACCTTATGACTTATTTTGGCTAGGAAGAAACTTCAGCCAGGGGGAAATTAAAGGGTCTGCACACGCAAATTGCAAGAAATCATACTACACTTACCTCCAGAGGTATACACACTTTTCATAGGAAATACTTTCTACCAACAAAATAGTCCTGATGAAAACTGTTGAGAGCGTGTTGATTATCTAGAGTAATAGGGGCACTGTTTCTCAAAAGACATGCTGCAAATCTCAATGCCATAAAAAGTTGGGGTTTTTTGGCTATGAGTACCACAAATGAAATTTCATTGTATTGGGGTGGAAGGAGATCTGCCTGGCTGAATATTTACCACTAGATACAGTAAGTGAAAAAGGATGGTTTTGTCTTTAACTTAAGTCTTATGTAAAGCAGTCCATAGTAAACAATTACTGCAAAGTAGGACTACTCCAGCTGTTTAGTATTGCACATTCATAAAGTTGGGTGACTCAAAAGAAACGGATTGAGTGATCAAAATAAATCGAAGCGGCAGAGGTAAAAAAAAACAACCTGACTTTTAGTCCCCATGGGCCAATCTCCAAAAACACTGGATCCCACATTTCCCATAATTTAACTTAAATGCCCACTTATTTCAGATAACATACCTTCACTTTGTAAAACAGCCTTTGTTTCGAACTTTCTTTCTTTCAAACTATTTCGACAGCTCCCTCCAGAGCTACAGTAGACATTATACACTGCCGTTTTCACGGGCTGAGCTCCTTATGACTATAACTTTCATGTGCTAAGTGGAGTGTCCCTTTAAATGTAGGCACAGGAAAGTGAAGAGGCCCTAACTTAGATCATAAGAGAAGATTTTTCTGATGAGAGAATCCAAGTTGCTAAATCCAGTGACACCCACTCCATTTTAGCTTTAATGTTTAATACAGGTTTCTACTCATTTTCTGCAATCAGATTCTGTGACTGTAGAAAAGACCACAGTTTGACCTAGTAAAAGTAAGCATCTTTACTTTGGCCTGAACTTGTCTGCCGAATGAAGCTTTTGTCTAAATAATCTAGGATTTTTATTTCTACCTTGGAGCTGCCCCAGGCCCACAGGTGACATAACCCCAGCAGGGTGCAGCAAAGAGGCGGTGAAGAGGGATTAAGTCACTGTGTAAAAGCACCTGTTTTTTTAGCATAGGGTGCAACACTTGCTCCGAGGCAAGGGGTGCAGAGCGGCTGTTGGCGTCAGAACGAAGCGCAAACAGGGCACCCATTCAACCAATGCTGGACAGTGCTGAATCACACTCACATAGGGCACAGACAGACTGATTCTCACACACACACACACACAGTCCATGCAAAACAGGAAGGCAAACAGACACAAAGAGATGTACAATGTCCCTTATGTTTCTGGCTGATAAACATAGGCAAACTCTCACTCAGTCTCTCTTTCTTTTCTTAATGACCCACACACACATACTAACACACACACAAACAAACAGTTCTTCAAACTAATTGGCGATGCAGATGCCTTGGTAAAGACAGCGGAGATCTGTCAAGGGCATGTGTTTACGGTCAGATCTCCCCAAATTAACTAACTTTATAATAAATCACTGGGCACTGCTAGCCAAGGATTAGCCAAGCTCCAGTGAGCAGTTTGTTAAGCTTTGAGGAGAAGCACTGGGGACGGTGAAGACATCGCCAAATAGTGACATCAGCTCTGGGACCTTGGGACGGTACAACCCCCCTGCCTGGTTTCCTGGGCACACATTTAGCCTTGTTATCGGAGTTCCCCATTGACACAAAATCCTGCTCCTATATTAGGCATTTACTTGGAACTATTGCTTTTTCTTCCTGTTGGGGTTTCTCTGCTAATCACTTCCAGTGTTCAGGACATGAGCTCTAACATCAGGTACACTGTTCCTTCGATTACTTTCCTTATGTTTGCCTTATATGTCTGTGCAATCTTGCCCCCTACTGAGTCATTTCTTTTGGCAGGAGTAAGGCTTCCTACAGCCTGGTTATTTATATACTGACTGAGAAAACATTAATCCCCTCTCCTCTGCCTGCAGAAAGAAATTAAACTCTTTTGAGGAAGCTTATTATAAAATCCTTCAGTATGATCAAACAAAAGTAAGTTTTATGACACTATTACTGGGTTAAATCTTGACGAAGGGCTAATATTTCTGTAGTGGTTGCAGTAAAACGAACAATATGTGTCAGTGCAGCAGCTCCAAGGTCTGTCTCTTGATCTTTTTGGTTCCCTGATCTTTTTCACAACCCTGTGCCGAACGCTGGAATACTAGTTTTATTTTTGGGTAGATTTTCAGATGATTCTATTCTCAATTCTAACAATGTGTTTTGTCCTTGACTTCTGAGCAAATGAAAACTAGATCCGGTACATTAAGAAGATCAGAGATCGTTTCAGACAGGTATTTCCTCTGTTGTCTATTAATTCATTCCCTCTGATAGCACTTCTCTTGTAATTACTTGTGGGGCGACGGACCTACAAGAGGATGTCACCCCATGAGAGAAAAGGGCACGACTCTTCTTCTGTCAAGCCAAAGAAGCTGTAGCGCTCAGATGATTAGACAATATCTAGTTCATGATCATCTCTCCCTTCATGTTTCATCTTAACTTCTTCCCTTGCACCACCCACTGTGTCTCCCTTGTTTGCACTGCTGTTAAGGTAAAAGAAAAGGCTCTGAAACCGAGTCTGGTGCAGTACACCACCCCCTGACGTAGCATCTGAGCAGCAGGGAGGAAGGATATATGTGTAACCTGCGGCAGCACCCCTGGGCCCTGGCTGTCAGAGTGGGTGGCAGCCCAGAGGAAGATGAATTAAAGAGGCTCTTGTCCTCCAAGGCTGATTGACACAGTCAGAGTGACGGAAAGGTTAGTGGAGGTGCTGGTATTCCCTTGGCTGTGTCTACCCTTGCATTGGACAAGGAGCACTGTCTCACTTTCTTTAGATGTGTGTCCATCTCTCTCTGCCTCCCTCGCTTCTCCTACTCCTCTCACACACACTAGGGCTCATTATAAGAATGCTCTGACCCTTCGGGACTTCACTTACTTCTCTGTGTCTCTTTCCAGTTCACAAACCTCGGTGTTGGACAAAAGGCAGTTGAAAGGCAATTTGAATTTGAAACAGGGGCCACAACAAAAACATGCAGCCCCCAAATGGTGAAATGTTAGGAGACTTGGAGCCAGCTATTGAGAGTTAGCAGTCCTCGCACAAAAAGCTAAAAATGTGATTTTGACTATCCAGCTAACTAGCTCAGTGTACTGTAAAGACTGCTACTGCAGGGGGAGAGAGGGAGGTATGTCAGAGCCTGAAGGAGGGAATAGTGGACACCAGGAGCCCAGCGGGTAGGACTGTAGAACATGCACAGCCCCTAGCAGATAAACACACGCCATACAAACAACAAACACACACACACACACACACACACACACAGTGAGAAACACAGAGAGAAGGGCACATTTTGACCAATCCCACGGTGAAAACGCATGCAGTCTCTGCTTCCACAGTTCTGCAACTCACTGGCTTGAAAATGAGCTTTTCTAGTTGTGCTCTAAATCAATTGTAATGTCAAAAGGGGAAAATTCATCTTGACACAGCGAGAAAAGTACCAGACATTTCCAATGAAACAGTTCCTCGAAGAAAACCTGTTTAATTATGGTGTGTGAGTGACATCGGAGGTATTATTAGAGTAGCTTTTATCATATTGTACAGTAACAATTGGTCTTGGTCAATAACTAATTGTCAGCCATTTTCAATCACACGATCCGAGGCCTGTCAATATCCAATCAATAGGTGGATGGTGAAGTGCCAGCTGAAAGCTCCTTGTTTTGTGCTTGTAGCTGCAAGCTACGCAGTATGAAATTAAGACTTACATAATGAAATCTACTGTAAAAGCAAAGATTACAGATTAACTATGATGTAGGCTATTGATTTAGTTCATTAAACCAATTCCCACAATTAAATTCCTTCGTCAAATCAGAAGCAATAGAATTTATCCAAAGCATCAAGGCGCGACAGAGCCCGTGCCCCTGGAGCGCACCACCACCACCCACCACAGACCTCCACTCCGGACAGCTCGGGTCACTTACCTCTGGTTATCGGCGGAAAGGTGCCGGAGAAACGACAGTATGAGCCGGTTGTGAGTCCCGCTGGATACAAAAAATCCGAGAGTGATCAGAGGCTCGTTAGTGCCTTACCCGATCATGTGTAGGGCTTTGTAAACTACTCCTCCCCGTCGCACCTGTCTCTGGCAAAAACTGATCCCGTACTCCGGCCTGACATCCCTAAGACAACTGTCTCAGGGGTTGTGTGTCCGTGCACCCCTGCTAGTTTCAACACACACACACACACACACACACACACACGCAGAGACACGGCACCACCTGTCCCCGGTGCAAAACAGCCCACAAAGAGCTTCTATGTCGCGCAACGACACATGGCATTCCCCGTTGGTCTATGTAGCAATACTCCCTCACAAACAGCCGTCCGAGATCCCCAAGTAATCTGCAAACGCTGGAAGGCAGCGAATGATGAAAAGGACAACGCAATAATAAGCCATCCAGCACACCACTGGCACCAAACCAGATGCAGCGTTTGGAAATTCTGCCGCTCTCGCTGCTCGCCCAGTTGTTTTATCAATCTTCCGTCCCCACAATAGTTGGTCTATTTTGCCGCTGCGTACGACTGCTGCTCTGTCATTGCTGCGTCTTTTCCCACCTCGGGTTTAACTGAAAGAAAAGACTGTCCTTCTATCTGCCTTTGCGCCCCACTTCCTCACAAAGCGGGGCTCAGGATCCAGCGCGGGGCAAAGTCCCATTCATAGGTTTATTAAAAATAGTTCCTGTTTCTTGGGCTGCACTCAGGAGCTTTGGTGAGGCGGGGAGGACCACTGCGTTTGTCTTCTAGCGGTTGTGTGAGCTACAGCATCTCCGGCACTGCTCCCCGCTGTCATCCACAGGAGACTCCTAAAGCCTGTTCGTGCCAAATCCTGAAGCAGAATTATACGGAGACTGGAATGGAATTGATTGATGACTAATTGGATTTAATTATGAGCCGCCAAATCCCTTTTTAAAAAACCCACTCATCAATATCACTGACAAGCCAGTTGCGGCAGAAACTTGCTTGCTGTGTGTCGACTAGGCTACCGAAATTAGTCATCTTGTTATAGACACGACAACTACACCGGGGGCGCACACCAGACAGAGAGCACTGTTCTTAGGTAGACTATATTCTAAGTAACCTTTTATACTAAAAAGACAAAGAACAGACGGTTTAGAAAAGGTCTGAAAGGTTACATTTAGCCTGCTGTGCTGACGTTAAAATAAAATCACAAGGCCGATTCAAAGCGACTATTTATTGCTAGGCACTGTGGATAATCTGGTGGTTGAGCGATGTGGTCAGTACCTGAAAGAGACTCACTGTGCCAGGTCAGATAGTGGCTGAGGTGATGATACATTTTGATCAAACACTGGCGACGGTCTTATGTAAGATATTAGCATCAAAACATTTTATTCCCTTTATGTGTTTTAGGCAAAAAAACAAACAATATTTGTGAGTTCTCATTTTCGTTGTCACATGTTCAGTAGGCTAAACAATATATTAACAGTAGTCCTATATCTCAAACAACTGTAAAGCAGCATTTGCATTTCCAGGTTCATTATTTGATATCATGTGATTCAGAAGATATATTTTATTGGACCCACAGAACAGTTTGTTTTAATCTCAAATTTTTGAAAGTCCAAATCACTGCAATTACATATACAGTAACTTGAAAATGGTTTCCATCCCTGAGTTTAAGGTCTTTCTGCTTTGGCCTAAATTAACACAACAAAGGGATAATTTTGTCTAATTAAATCTCAATAAGCCTCCAGCCAAATTGTTAATCTACACTTCTGGGTTTGAGGTTGAGGATATGGAGGAAACTGACTGATGAGTGTTAAATCAGTCTACTCCACATCCTCTTACTGACCGCAAATAGGAATCTAATATGGCCTGTACCTGTAGAGGACCTAATAACAAAATAAGCAGTGTCAATGGATAATGCTGGTGCTGTTTGATATGTCTTAAAGACCTAGCCTACTGGACCTCTGCATGAAATTGCACTGAACCAATGTCACTTTTAAGCTTTGATTCATGAATAATTCATTGCTGAAATATTGATTCCTATAGGCTTGAAGGCTCATGTGTGTAGGTTACTCTCTTTGCCATCTTAATAAATCTACTCCCAGCAATTTGACAGCCTATTTGATACAATCTGCTAATCAGTGCCGCAAAATCAGATGACTCAACTCCAGATTTGGGAGAAATTTTTTAAAAGCTGTTATTACTGAATATGATTTAGCCTAAGGTTATCTCATTTGAGATTTAATACCAAAAAATATTTTTGCATAAGATATTGTTACTTCATGTACATAAGTAAATGTCTTAAAATAATCGCTTTCTTGAATGTCAGCAGCAATTCTGGGTGGCGGAAGCTGTTTTAAAAGACACCTCTAAAAGGCTTTCTCTTGGCATATTATGGCTATTATTATACACGTTCCTTTTTTTCAATCCACTGTCATTTTGTGGAGTTTATAATATAGCCTACTTTTGTGTGACATTGATATTATTGTAGGACATTGCTTCGGTTTGCTTGTTGTTTTGTTTTGTTTTTGTCTTATCTTCCTGTACACAGCCAAAATGTGCCTGCGCCAGCACTGTAATACGTATTAACATTGTTCATCCCGCTTACCTTATCATCCCACGCTGCCTGTGACTTTGTAGCCTCCACAATTAAAACTTAAAAAGAAAGTTTCCTTTGTCCAGAGGAGGCATGCTAAAAGTCTTTGTACAGGCCCACTGTGGTTACAACAGAGGAAACTGCTCTGACAGCAGTATCATTATTCAGGCAGAATTAATTTCACCAACAGTGGAATAATGATGAGTTGTCCCTACACACTTGATTTCTGTCCCTCTATTGCTCTCACACACAAACCATCATGCCTGTGTGTCTATACGAATCGAGACCATAGTGTTTTGTCTTGAAAAATCACGAGGAGTTTCCTGTCTGTGTGTAAACTTATGAGTCTGCATGTGTGTGAGTGTGTGTGAGAACTGACACCTTTTATAGCTTTGCCCCAGCTGCTGCACTACACTCTTACTCCTCCCAGAATCAGTGTTGGAAACTAACCAAGCATTTTTACTTTAAGCGGCACTATGTAACTTTTGCTGAAGAGCAGCCACTTTGGCTACAAGTGAGTGTTATGTAATAATGACAAATTCAATGAACAGTAATATAAGAAGAGAACAGTTATCAAGTCAATTAATGCAGGAATATTTATCTAAATTGTAATTGTTATCTAACATTAGTCACAATTAGCTACTGGTCATACCAAGTTTGTAGTAGCAAAATCCAAAGTTCAGAATCGAGCAAGGCTGTGTTTTATTGCTTATGAATTAAACTTTTCATTTATAAAGAGGAATAATGTGTTATTTCTTCTGTAAAAAGTTAGGCTAAATAGTTTTGTTAAGTATAATTTTTAGACACGTGTTTTTTACTTGTATCTGTTTTTCTTCTACATTTAAAGAATGAAAAAATTATTTACATTTACATTTGTTTGAGAGGTATAGTAACGAGTTCATAGGTACACAACATATGCTTAACTAATAAAATATAATGGTCTTATGCAGATAAATCTCAATCTCAATGGTTATGACATTATAATATAGGTGGCTGTAATCAATGTATAGCAATGAATCATATAACTACTTGTGAAAGGCAACGAACCCACTTAAAACTATGACTTGACTCAGAAGTTCTCCACAGCTTTGTAGTGTCTTTTAGCTTTTCAGCTTATTGTTTTGGTTTTACTGCCAAACTTTACAGTTTTGGTTTTGTTTTGTAAGCACTGGCTGCAGCAGGCAGCAAAAAAACCTCTAAAAACCAAACTGTACACTTACCTTCCTAGCATCAAATGGCAGATAGATATGTGGAGCATTTAGCAGCTACAGAAGCAGGGGTTGGCGGAGACCGAAAACAGGTTAAACAGATTAGAGTTAAAAGGAGAGTTGATATTGGACTTACATTCGACAGGTAGCTAGAACCATCATTCCAAATGAATGCTAACTTGATCCGTTTATGTCTGATGTGTAAATTAGCAGCTGTTTGGAAACAAGTTTGTCATATCAACTTAAAATGTGATGATATGTCAGTGTTGTGTTTACAGTTTGTTTTTTATACTGACTCCAAGTGGCAGGTTTCAGTACATATTGTGATGATACTTTTGTACCTTTACTCAAATAAGAATGAATGCAGGACTTTTCTTGTAAGGGAGTATTTTTATATATTGTAGTGCTCCTTTTCTTGAATATGTCTTCCAACCATTGCTTAAAATAGGAGATATTCAGGAAAACCAGTTCTATGTAGGTAACACAGGATGTATGCAGGAAGAGAGGGAGGACTTCCACAATAACTGTCAGTGTACATAATGTAGCTACAGTACTTTGATATTAAATAGCTAAAGTGTTTGTTTTTTTGAATCCCCAGATTAGCTTCATTATTCTGTTTCCAGCTACTTTGCATATAAATGATTCAGGACACAGAATCTTTGAGCTACGTTCAACAAAATAACTTATGCCATGTCATCTCCTGTCAAAGTTTGTGTGCTGACAATAAATAAATAAATAAATATGTGTTTTGTTCATCTGTTTCCTTTCATCCCACTCGGTCTGTCAGAGAAAGCCGTCAGTAGACCTGAGCCAGATAAAAAGGGAGAAGAGCTGCCTTGAGAGAGCAAGAAAGCTGAGGTAGAAAACTACAAGCTTTGATGCAGAATGCACTTTTTAATCTTTCAACATAGGGAAATAGAGAAGGGCAGCCCAGTTGTCCTCCCCCTGAGGTACAGTAAGAAAGCAGAGGAGAATGGTGTAGCTTTAAGAAGGGATATGCTGATGCCAAAGTTAGATTAACTCTTCACAGCAAGAGCTTTTGTCTGCTAACTTCCAAGATTAGCAGAAATATGAATGTAAAATAAAGATGCCTCAGTCTCCTTTTCTATCCCACCAAGTAATCACATGGTTCAACAAAGATGCACACACTGCATGCGGGGTTCATGTGATCAGACACATTAACTTCACGGGTTCTGTTGCAGTCATTCTGACAACTCAAGTTAACTTAAGATTATGACTAATTCATTAATGTTCACAAAACCCATAAAACATTTGAAGCATGAAACAAATCAATTTGAACTGACTTTTAATACAAGTGGCGTATTTAACTAATACTTTTTGTTTGAGTTTAAGGTGTTCATTTGCAAGGCAGCTGAGCGCTATCATTTGTAAATGACTGTTTACAAAAAACATCTTGAAATGCTAAATCTTTAAGCTGCAAACTTGAGCTCGATTTGATAATATTAAAATATGGAGCTTTATCTTTTGAATTAAGAACAATATCATTCTGGTCTGTTGTATAGGTCTCCATCAACTCAAGGACTGGCATTAAAAAGCAAGTTTGATATGACACAGTTTCATGCTAAATTGAAAAAAAATACAGTTTATTAGTACTGTGGAGAAGACAAATCACAATAGTCAAATTATTTGACAGACGCTCTGTGTTTTCTTCTCGCAATGTTATAGCTTCAATTTAATAAATGTTGATTATAGTTAAAGTTGCAAACTATTAGCAGTGTGTGATAAAGTGAGCAAAAAACTAAAGAAATACCACTCGCATTGCCTTGTGCAGCATTTACAGCGAGAATCTGAATCAAATGAAAACCCAGAGAATGACCTATACTGACAGCCCCTGGTGTGAGACTGCTCCAGTATTCATACAAAACATGAAGGCAGCGAGCTCAATTTTGAATCGCTTCTCTTCTCAGTGTGACATGTAAACAGTAAAGCAAAAAGGTCTGAATAAAAAGGCTTTGTTTGGATTTGAATGAGGGCAACAACAAGTCTGCTTTCATAAATGATGGATGGTTGTTCATCTCTTGTACGTGAAACAAGCTAACTCAATTTTATATTTACTCATTTTTATGCAACGT